GAAGCTGCCTGGCTGTCCATTCAACACTTCCGGGATCAAGTTTCTTTTCAGGAAATCTCTTTGCACTTCGCATCTCTACCGCTTCTGGTGAATGTAGAATAGATTCAAGCTCGGGAATAACTACATGGGAAGGGGCGTAGGTGCTACGATCAGCCAGCGAGTGCGTGCTCACTCCTGGCGTTCCTGAAAATCCGGAAGTTCCTGAATAGACCTCAAAAGTTCAGCAATGTCTTCCTTTGCCATAGCGCGGACATTGAACTTGGGGGCCTTAGACGGGTTGGGGCAGAACCGTGCGATGTGCCCAGGTTTACCACAGGCATAACAAGTGCCTCGGGTGTCCCTGTGCCGATCGACGTCCATCGCATCGGGGTCTTTCTCGACCCGAGGTGCGCTTTGTACAGCGGGCGTCTTTGCCTTCTGCTGCACAGTCTCTCTCTCAGTGGATCTACCCAGCGCAGCGTTGTACTCCTTCGCTTTGCGATAGGTGCGATCGCACTCTGACGCCTCTTTGAGCCAATCATCATAAGTGACTGGCTGGGGACGGATGTTGAACACCGCAGTGCGCAACGGAGTGTTTAGCCCTCGTTTGAAGTGATCCAACAACGCTTCGCTGTTGAAGCCGCTAGAAGGAGCAAGGCCTTTGAACAAGGTGATGTATTCATCGGCAGTGCTCTTTCCTTGCTGCAGCTTCACGAGCTTCATCTGCGCCTCATCCTTAGAGGAGTGATACTGGAAGTACGCAGTGAAGTCCGTAACGAATTGGGCCCATGTTCCAATGTGCCCGTTGTTCGGATTGCCGTTGGATTCAACGATGAGCTTGCGCTGCAAGTTTGCCCAACTGCTTGCAATCTCGCCGGTGCCTCCCTTGACAAGAGAGAGAGCGAAGATGATACGCTGGTCATCCGCTCCGATCTGCTGTCCGGTAAAGTACAAAGTCAATGCGTTAAGAAACGCTTCAACCTTGTCAGGTTGGCCATTGAAGCTTTCTGGTGAATCAAGCTTCAACGGCTTCCTGTGCACGGGGCGAGTAGTATAACTCTGAACAGCGTTGGCTATCTGCTCAGTTGCAAGCGTAGAGCGCTCTTGGCGACCGAGAAGCTGAGTGAAGCTTCCCAGAAGCGTCCGGATAGCAGCCCAGAGCAGGACCCAGAATCCCGCAGTTTCGAGACTTGGGGCTGACATCTGCCGCATCTCCGGAGTGAGGTGTTCATAGACGGGGTCGTTGGGGGGGAGAGTATCGAAAGGGGTGGTTGTGGTCGACATATTGGATGGTTTGTATGTAGATGGTGTTAGGAACGCGGTCGGAAAGGCGCTAAAGGTAGGTCGCTGCTCTGTGCAAACAGGTCAACCCTGCACCCGATAGTAAGCCTTTGGGAAGTGATACACAGATGTCTTCTTCGTCACCAGTTTCCGCAAGTCAACGGCTTAAACTAGAGCGCAGTTGTGAGGTACTTGGGCCCTAACCTCAGAATCAACGGATTGACTACCGTTTGTTTTCTGATGGACTAAAGACTACCTCGCACAGAGGATTCGTCCCAACAGTTCTGCTCTAGAGGACCCCTGGTAAAGTCCCTTTGTCCCTACTGCCTTATTGACTAGGGCTAGCTACTAACTAAAGGGCTCAGGATTTATTGAAGGTGCAAAAGGGAGTTTTTCTATCTAAAGTGATTTCGGAGTTTGGATGAGTTTGGAGGAGAGGGTGATGGTGAGGATGATGGGATCGGAGGAGGAACGAGCACAGAGGTGGTAGAGGGGAGTCTTGAGCTTATGTCAGACACACTAGCCAATGCAATGCAGAGGAGATGCAAAGAGGCCAAGTCTGTGCTCAGAATGAAGTGGGGATGAAAGTGCCTATATTGCTAGTGGAGATACGACCAGCTCAAGACTGGAGAGTGCTACAAGTACATGGACATATATATACTACTACTATGCAATGCCGAAGCCTCGAGGCGCTCAGTAAGGCCTCAGTCAGCAACATGTGTTGCTCAGTCAGAAACATGAGTTTCTGAGTAAGAAACATGAGGCTATCACTAATACAAGTCCGATATAGCTAGATAAGGTCCGATATAACTAGATAAGCTTGTAAGTAAAGATAGAACCGGATCGGAGCGGATCAGAGCAGATCTGATGATGATCTGATGATGCTGATGATTCATGACACTATGCCCAAGAACATGAGTATCCTCCCTGTCACGCCTGGACTCAGGCACCATTGCGATCATGTTCTGGAGCGCCTCACGGCCAGGACATGTTGCGTTTTGCAGTCCTCATGTTGAATTTCAACATGGGTGATGGCCTCATGTTCGAGCCATCACCTTACACCCATTGTTCTGCATCATACTGCCTCTAGCCCTGCATTGTCTTGGTCTAGATGCCTCTGGCTGTATCCTTGCCTCCTGGCACTGGTTGTGTTGAACCACGGGCTTGGCATTCCGTGGGGATCAGTTGATCCCAGTGATCTGCATAGTAGTTGAACTTTCGCTGATTTTCAACTGCGAAAACAAACAGGCCCTTTCAACGCACCTCCATCAGCCCCGAGAGTGCACACATGCACCCCCAGGAGGTCCAACAACCAAGTCCGAACACTCTGGTCAACTCCGGTACCCATCAGTCTCCAGTTACCGGAGTACGTCCAGATGACTTCCCATGGGACGCTAAGGTGTCGTATTGCACCTTACACCACATGGCCCTCAGCCATGTGGGTCAGGACTTCTATCTCAAAGGTTCAGGCTTCTTTCTTATTGTTCAAACTTAATATCTCCTTCCGTGATTCACTCTTATTGTTCTTTCTGCCTCACCCCCTTATCTAACCCCTTACAAAGTACAATAAGCTTCACACTATTTAATCAGCTAGTCTACACCCTGTTCTTCAGTTTGCTAATAAACATTACTTCACCCCTTCCCTGTGGAGTACTCTGAGTTCTTCCAGTACCACCGCTCCACCCCCCGGTTGTCCCCCCGTACTCCGGAACCCGCAGATAGTGCACTCGCCCTGCCCCCTTGTGGCGTTGTGTTACAAACCCGTCCTCCGGTCAACTCCAGCTCCAGACTCGATCTAGTTCGCCCCGAGCTCCTGTCGACTGGTCGACTGGCCCCACTGTTATCCGCTCGGATATAACACACCCAGGAAACCTCTCAGAACACAAGCCAGACGCGACACGCTGTACATAAACCGGTTCGCTACTGCCAGAAAGCATTCACCAAGCGAGAAACACGTCCAGGACAGGTTCGCTGCCGTGAATACACGCGAGAAAGCCTCAGATCAAGCAACGAGCGCGCAGCGGACACAAGAGACCACTCTGACACACAAGAAATGGTCACTCAGAACGGTTCAGAGGGCAACACATCGCCTGGCCAAGACAGAAACACGCACGAACTAGGCAACGACTCTCAGGATGAAGGGTTCGGAGCGATGCCGTGAGAAGGAGTAACAGGCCAACTGTAGTGAGGGTGGATTTGGACTTAATAGCACTCCCGAATTAACTTGACCCAAGTTCTATTAAAGAAGCCAGGTGCGTCAAAGTGGGTAAGTGTAAGTTAGAGACTTTCCCAGGCCGACGCACTGTAAATATAACTACGACAAATAAGTAATCTGAACCGAAAGGAATGGAGTAAGTATGGGCTCGACGGGACGTCGAGCGAGATAGGATAGTATAGTAATGAATCTAATGGAATGGAATGCTCCGCGTTACACCAACGCACCGATTTGAAGACCGATGACCCAGGAGGAGATTAGAAGGTGAGATGTGCTACTCCGAATGCACAGTTGGGTGGCTGAGGCACAAATGGGGAGCGGCAAACTCCTAGGCAACACAGCCGGGAGTGAACACAAGGCAGGAGGGGTTCAGAGAGTAGAATTACGCACACTATAAAAGCACGATGGTTTTGGAAGTAGTAGATCATCAAATTACCACCCATTGCACTCATCAAAAGCTACCCCCTCCCTCTCACACTACTCTCCCTCGGGAAGAAGTCTCATCGGGTCATGACAGACAAGTTGAGAGAGGACTACGAGTTTATTGGTTACTAGTTCGGTCACAGAACTTGGATTGTGAAGCACAACTGAGTTTGGGGCGTCCTCATGCGTTCGGTCTTCGACCAGAGGGAGCTGTATAGGAAATACAGGCGTTGGAAGGGAGACAGAGGTGGAATCCCGAACATCAGAACAGCCAGCGAACTCCGCGTGTGTAACAGTTCATTGTTATAGGAGGGCCGAACCTAGAAAACTCGACTCGACTAACTCATCGAAGGGCCTCAACTCCGAACCCAACGATAATACCCATTGCCACACGGAGCGTCTGCACCAATTCACATAGCACCGACACAAACTCGCACCTCGCCAGTTCAGAGCCACGCGACTGCACGGAAAAACAGGCTTAGAGGGCAGAGCTACAGCCTGCAGGCATCGCACTTTTACCAGTACTGAAGATACTGCTGGGTCGTTGCGAACGAACTCAGGAGATAAGAAAATCCCGAACCACCTCGGTTTCCCGGCGAGGAACAAATATTGCATCGCAGAAGCTCGCACCCTCGCACGAGTGTAGAATTCCTCCTACCATGGTTCTCTGAGAAGGCTAGCCCCCAATGAAGGACCAAACCTTCGAGGAACCTAGCACTAGTACCCTGCGCAAGCAAGGGAAAGTTGATATAACCACCACCACCACCAATTAAAATAACTTCTTACATCGAGTAGCTTGACCGAACTCCCCAGCAACAGAATAATATCCCCCTAGAGGACGAATACACCACTGTTGATTGACTGCCTATAACCAGCCGGTTGCTCGCACACTCACAGTACTGCAGTCTGCATCACATCTGGAGCCCACTGCGAGGGTTGGTCATTAACTGTCACACATGCCATGTGATGGGACCAACCAGGACTAGGCAACGGTAATGGAGAGATGATTGTGACTGGAAGTCTCAATCACAAAAAGTTGTGATGAAATGTGAGGTTGGCAACTGTGCTGGAGCTGGCGATCGGTCGGATGCCTCACAAGAACGGTTGCGTAATCTAGTGGTCTAAGACACCAGCAACAAATGCTTGGAGATCCCGGGTTCGAATCCTGGCGGAACCATTCTTTTCCAGTTCACAACACATTACCAGCCTACAATGGACGACGAAGAAGACTACTCAGTGACCGAATAGCCTCCTCGGAGGATGGATGATGAATATAGACACGGAGTGCCTCTTCTGCTAAGCAGGCATGTCCGAGTCAAAGGCGCTAGCGACTGGACGAAGGCGTTCGAGCCGAGGAACAGCTCGTCGTGCCTCTTCTGCAATGCAGGAATGGATCAAGAGCCACCTATGGCCCGTACTCGCAGGCTAAGCTGCAGGCCTTAGTAGTGAGAGTCAGACGAGGTGGTGGTAAGAAGTGTAATGATTAGGTGCTGGCAAACATCACATGACTACATGATTACATAATATCTCCATACATATCTCATAGGGTATACTTGAGACTAAACAGAGGACCCGCAACCTACACGGCCAAACGGAAATTTCACAACAGGCAATGAATTAGATTCGTACGGGATTCATGTGACAGTTCTTACCAACGAGACACCTTGATATTACGTTTCTTGTATGTCGTCTACGTGCCCGAAATCCGTAGATTGCTCGGATGTCCCTCTTAAGGCGGTGATTTTCTTGAGAATAACTGAGTTGATCAAGACCAATCAAACGATAGCCGAGGAAAAGCACTGCCCGCGAGCCCAAACGGGAAATACGCATCAGCGCTCTGCACACCACGCTTTGACCCTCCCGGGATGGAGGCGAAGAAACCACCGGAGATGGGGGGCGATCTTCACCAGCCCTTCTCGCGACGACTTGCCATCCACAAACACCGCTTCCAGCACTGGCAAAACCATATGATCCGGGGCAAGCGATACGCCCTCAAACACCAGACCAGTTGGTGTATCACTCTACTTTTTACGATCGGCACTATTCTCTGTCTTGGGTCTGCCTTCCTTGCATCAAGCATTTCATCGCAACAAGCATCTGTGCCGGATATATCGGGATTACTCTTCTTCGGCAACCCAATCCACTGGATCATTCCGCTCGACTTTCTCTGTCTCTTGGGTTGTTCACTTGGTAATCTCTTTGGATTCACCGGTACTTTCTCTTCCCACATCTTATTCCTACCCAAGTTTGCCGCAAGCGCGAAACACAATCCATATCTCCGCCTCCGCGATCTGGCATGGCCTCAAACTGCCCGAAGGAGACCAGGAAACTGCGAATAACCGTTCTGGGCCCTTTCAAACGCCCTTTATTTATGGGTCTGTATATTTCACCCCGCTGCTCGACGTCACTCAACTCGGACAAGTAGACGTCGCCTCCGGAAGTACTGTTCGCAATATTCTGAACGAACTTCACCGCCGCCATCTCATTGGCGACTCTTTGCGAGTCAATTACAGTGTCCTCTTCCCAAGTCATGGCATCAAGCCGTTGGAACATTCAGATGTCCTCCGAGACGTCGGCATCTGCGACCTTTCCGTTCTGTATATTAGAACATCCGTCCTCGGTGGTTCCGGGTTCAACAGTGGTTCGTGAAAACCTCATAGCACCAGTCGAATTCCACTTATGTTCGTTTGTAGCTCCGCCTCAGGAAGCATCAGATGACAACGAGCCAGGACTGTCCACGTTTACGCGCCGAAGTGGCCGGTTTCCCTCCTTCCGCCCGGACAGTGAGCTATCTCGATTTTATTCCCTGCTTCTTTACTCAATGTTATCAGTATGGGAACCCGAGCCTCTCACAGGAAAATTTACATGCCTTGTTTGTTTGGACTCCAATCCACGAAGTGCCAAGCACATTCCCGAACACGAGAAATCTGCACGGCACGGCAGAAACTTGGTTCGCCACGACAAAGATCAGAACCGAGAAACAGATACCTCTGGACCAACAATGACCCCGGCAAGCGTTGCCGAACGTATCCGCGGTCCTCTCAGTCAAGCTTTAGAACAGCTTATCAGCAGTCCCGACCGTGACTTTTCTCAAAATTCTTGGGTTGATGAAGAAACCGGTGTCGTGAACTGGAATCAAATGGTAGACCTCGACACTCACCACGCGCAGCCCCTTGCGGCCCGGGAGGTTGTTTTCCTGACGGAGCAATTGCACGCCTATCTCAACGAGCCCACGGTTGACGTTGATTCGGATGCCAAGCCTGGCGAGCGGAGTGACATCGATTCAGTAGCATCCTCAGATCACGAACAAGGTGAGCGGAATCATCCCAATGAATAACAGACAATTGAACCCCACCCCAGAATATCACCCAGCTCCAAAGCGACGTGTGATCAACCTGGAGAACCCGGGTTCGAAGTGGTTTCCCTGGCCCGATAAAGAGGTACGTTGCAACTTGAATCTATCTGCCGAATAACTCAACTCGTGCGTGTAGACTTGCGTACTCGACATTTTGCGCCATGTTCCACGGTGTTCATTCTCAAAGAAACAAAACACTGCAATCCATTGGGCCATGCTCGCGCTCGGACTCCGTGACCTTCCGTCTGATCGGGTCATGGATGATATCGACAAGGTCCTTCAGCCTTTGTGCGGTATCCAGAGTATCCGATACTCGGGCAAGCTTGGTCATGTTTATTACACCAACGATTTGGCCGCAATTATTGCCCAGGTATTTGTACCTCCCCGTGCAAGGCCGTGCTTACCTTTGGCGACAGGAAATGGCAAATCCCGCAGTTCGGGATAAGTTGCGCTTTCTCCCGGAGGACAGTGGTCCATCGCTTTCACAAGCATGGCAAGCAAGCCGCTGGCTGCATGAGCTTGACTCGGACTTGACCACACCGATGATACGGCTCAACACCCAGGATTATTTTATCCATGAGCCTGCACTTCTCTCGGACGGTAGTGTGTGCATGCCGACACGCTGGTTTGAGCGCGATAACGAGATTTATGCTCGGGTTTGGAAGATGCAGGGAATGGCCAATAATGCGGGTGTTCCCGGTTGGGTTGTAAACGGCCAGGCAACTTACGACGTCAAGAGCTCCAATCTGCTCCTGTCCTTCCCCCACTTTGTTTCGACTCATGGTCAACGGCAACTGCCCGATCCGCGTATTATCCACGGTGCGGCACAATTTTGTATTGACTTTTGTGTGCGGTTTCTCATCCATTTCAGGTATTCAAACAAACCCGAACACACTTACTGCCTGGACAAAAACGGATGCGACTCAGGGTAATCGCTGGCGTAAACAGGCCGTGGGCCATCGCGTAGTTGCGTTCCCCGTCTGGCTCTACTGTGACGACACATCCGGAAACACATCAAAGAAATGGAATAAACACAACTCTTTTTTCCTCTTCACCGCGGCCGGACTTCCAAGGAAGTATGTTCATCAAGAGTCAAACATACATTTTCTGTCGACCTCCAACATTGCCCCTCCATTGGAGATGCTCGACGGCATCGTGGACCAGCTCAAGTATGTCCGATCTTCATTTGAACATTCAACGAGGCGTTGGCTAACTAGTGTTGAAGGGTCGGCCAAGAGAGGGGAATCTGGGTGTGGGATTCCCACCACCGTGACCTGGTGCTGGTGATCCCCTCTGTCCTTGCCATGCTGGGGGATAATCCGATGCAAAGTGAATTTGCTTGTCACATCGGATTTTGCGGGAAGTTCTTCTGCCGCGCCTGCTGGGTTCAGGGTGATCCCGAGAAGGAGGATGATGATGACGGTGGGGATTACTCCGACGCCGGTAGTCTCAGCGACGCCTCGGTGCAGAGTAACGGAGCTGCGGACGGAAAGAAGAAGAAACGAGGCAAGAAGAAACAAACGATCCCGGAGATGATCAGCCGCATCCAGCAATTTATGACTGTGCGTACAGGTCCGGAAATTATGCCTTCAATACTCACCTTTAAATTAGCGCTCCACCGCCCGCAATTGCGCAGAAACACAGGAAGAACTGAAGGCCCAGTTCAACTCGGCGATCATTGTTGGCGGTCAAGCTGAATTTAAACGGAGAAAGACAAAGTCAGGAATCAAGGATACGTTCCAAGGCGCATTCTTGGAACGTATTTTCGCGATATCGACTAAACGAGGTCGCTCGAAGCCGCAGAAACAGGCTGACGTAACCGCTTTGCGTCGAACCTTTCCTGCGGATATCACCAGTCCCGTATGGCGGATTAAAGGTCTCAATTTCCTCAATAATCAAGGTGTCACTTATATTTGCCGCAGACTTGGACCCTCATCAAGACACCCCCGTCGAAATCCTGCATGTGGTTCTGCTTGGCTTTGTCAAGTACTTTTGGCGGGACGCAGTAGCGCGGTTGAAGAAAAAGGAACAGAAGGATATTCTGATAGCCCGGCTGTCGTCCTTCAACGTCTCGGGCCTCGGTATTCCACCTCTTTCTGGACATACATTGGTCAATTATGCTGGGTTGCTGACCGGTCGCGACTTCCGTGCCCTGGTGCAAGTCGCTCCGTTCGTTTTACAGGGATTGCTCCCCGACGAGAAGATTCATGCATGGGTGGCGCTTAGTGCTGTTGTTACCCTGGTATGGCAGCCACACATTCAAAACTTGGATCGCTACATCGTGAGTGTGGAATTAATCATTGAGCACCAAATATTCACGGTGCGATTCAAATAGATCACCCTTGAAACAGTGATCGACCACTTTTTGGATTGCACCTGCCGGCTCACCCTGAACTGGTTCAACAAACCGAAATTCCACGTCATTCTACACCTCCCTGCCCACATCCGCCGTTTCGGACCTGCAATGCTATTTGCCACAGAAGGGTTCGAGTCCTTCAACGCAATTATTCGGGCTTGCAGTGTCCACAGCAATAGACATGCACCTTCTCGGGACATCGCCGCTCGCATGGCTCGCGGGAACCGGCTTAGACATCTCCTGAGCGGCGGGTTTTTTCGTCAAGATGTACCTGCACCGGAATTTCCAACGTTGACGACTTCCAGATCCAAAAAAAGGGGGAATCCCTCAGTGAGTGTTGATTCACTGTCGGATCCCAACTCACCGGTCGCAAAACCCGCCGCTGCTGCAAACTCGGAGAGCGCCTGGATGAAGGTGCCGTTGACTGAGCTGCAAGATACCAAGTGGGTGACTGCAGCTGCGGCAC